TAAAATTCCATCAATATCAGGGATATTTATATACGTATATATATATATATAATTCATATAATATTCTGGGATTTTAGTGGAATATTAAAGATGAATAGTAACTATATCATAAATGATTGGGTATACCCATTGGTAATCCAACATACCTACAGGATTTATACTTACTTGACGGATATAAATGGGTTCATACTAGTAATCTAGTAGATGTAAATGGATGTTGAGGGAATATACAATGGAACCTAATCTAAGGGATATATAATGGATGTAGTAGATCAATCTTTGGGTTTATAAACCAATGGGGTTGAAAGTTACAAGTTGGGCAACAAAATTGTTTTAAGGTTGTATTTTTTAATGACAGTTCATGATTTGTTTACTGCTTTGTCAGACAGGATTTGGATAACATGGAAAATGGAAATGATTTTTAATGATGTTGATATGTTCTGTTAATGATGTTTTTCAGTTTTTTTAAATGATCTTTAAATGTGTTTCAAATGTTTGTAAATAATATTATGTTTTGTTTTATGATTTGTTTCTGATTGTTTTATGTTGTTTAATGAAGTTTTTTTTTTTTTTAAGATGTCTTTTTTAATTGATTTTATTTATGTTTATGTGTTTTTATTTGTCTAAATGTTTTTAATGATTTATGTTTTTTTTGAATGTGTTTTTAATGATTTGTTATGATTAAAAAAAGTTAAAACAAACATTAAAGAAAACAAAACATCTACACATTTGTTTTTTTTTTTAAACATCCTTTAAAACACCATAAAAAAAAAAAAAACACAATCATAAAATAATCATAAAATAAGTGAACAAAAACATGAAAAAAACATAAAACAAATCATAAGTTGTTTTCAAGCGTTTTTTCAAATCATAATTTTCATTTAAAAACAAAAACATTGACAAAGACATATTGTTTTATTTAAAAAAAAAAACACAGTTTTCAAAACAATTTCGTGGCTGTCTTCGAACTCTCAATCATGGGGATGTAATCAGTGAGATATTCATGGGATAGTAGTGGAATAATTATTATCAAACATGGCACTTGAAACCCCCAACGCATACCCTCTGGTGAACTAACATAGCAATGGAAAATGGCCATTTATAGTGGATTTTCCCATTAAAAATGGTGATTTTCCATTGCTATGTTAGTTCACCAGAGGGTATACAAATGGGACCTTTAATGGAAACAATTGGCATCTATAGATCGGCCAGCCATGTTTGATTTCCAAAGGGTAAAGGGCATCGTTATTGAAAGCAGGTATCCCGTGGGGTATTTCAATGATTGGGACACATATCATTCAAAAGGGAATATGTTTGTTTGATGATATGCCATGGGAAAAACACAAGGCATATTAACCGTCACGGAACGTGGATCAACATCAACATTATACATTCTGTCTGTCTATGTATATATATATGTGTACATGAACTTACATGGATCATACTGGAAATTCTTTGACTATATACTTCAAAACATGAGAACCTATGGATATTTATCTGCAAGTTTGGATGCACTTTAAACGCTTCGTTGTTTTTCTTTGTGACATTTAGGGTTCCACACTGCCTCTTTTGGGGCTGTCTTCTGGGTGGTTACAACCAGAGAATGCTGGGGTGCTATTTTACCTGCCGAGGTAACGTCATGTCGCAAATCCTGATTCTTTGAATGGGTACACAGTGAGGACTGGCGTATGGATTCCACATCTTCTCAGGTTGAAAGCCTCCAGCTACACCCACCAGCGATCCAACAGCCCAGCTCAAATGGCCAAGCATCACTGGCACTGTGACACTGAGACAGTCTGGATGCTTCCGCTTCGATCCGGGTTGCGGCTTCCTACCGCAAACCGGTGGCGCTGCTGTTTCTCGGTCTGAACATGGGGGATTGACCCCCAAAATAGCTGTGGGAAGATTATCATAAACCAGGCAATTTGGGAATGCCCTATTTTCAGAAAAAACCATCCAAGATCTGTGTTGATGGAGCCGCAATTTGAAAATCAAAATTTGCCGGTGCGCCTTTCAGTCTTTGAAGCACGAAACCACGTCTTCTGAATCCGTTCTGAATGCGCGCATGTCCCTATTCCTCTCTGACCATCTTTGAGTTAGCAATCGACCTTCCAATCCCAATCACACCGTGCATGTCTCGCATATGTACTATGTACCCACATTTTGGTAATTCTTAGAGCATCTTTAAACTATATATACCAGTCACAGAAGATCCGGACTTGACTGACACTATGGTGCCCTCAATCACTGGTTCATCATGAGTTTCTTGTCAAAGTCACTCAATTACCCTGTTTGCAGACATCCAAAAATCATATGATTTGTATTGAATTGCTATATCTATCATAAATTTCCATAAAATGGATTATATAAAATGGTTGGTTTCGTGCCATGTTTATGGAGTAAAATCACATGTTGGAACCCCAACCCATCGAAGGGTCATGGCTCAACCGAACGCGACCTGTGCTGGAAGAAATGCTTGGGACTGGATGCTGGGTTTCTCAATCCCCACACCTGCGCAGCTGGTTAGTGCTTTGCAGTTGGACAACTATGGTTTAGGTTGAGAATGGTTGATCCAGGTAAAATCATTTCTCCAGGGAGGTTGGGATCGGGTGGGGGGGGGGAAGTCTCAGAATATGTATTGTGTGTGTGTTTTTTTTGTGTGTCTTCTTTGTTTGTCAGTGTATGTTGAAAAACGTGCGCTTTACCTAAGTTTTCGCACATCAATGTGGCAAAATACAGTATTTCAGTATTTCACAATGTTTTTGTGTGTACATAAAGCAGGTGAACAGATAGATCCCAAAGAGTAGCCTTCGAAACATTTTGGCATATGTGCCCTGGTCAAGTCACACGAGATTTTATGGACATTCCGGACATCCCACTATCATGAATGGGATTCCCCAATTTACCGGCATGTGAAATCGGGCAACTGACCATTTTCCAATAATTATTTCTATATCATCCAACTTCTCTCCGTGGCACATCTGAGGACAATTTGTGAGATAATATACCTTTTGATAATCTAGTAATTAGTACTTTCATGGCTAAGTTAAAGTTAATAACCAATGGTACTGCGCAAGGGCGGTGGCGGAAGTTTCAAAGATAGGAAACCTGTAGGAGAGGTGAATTGTTGTGATTCATGGACGGCAGAGCGAACTGATGGACCAGAAGGTGGCTGAGGCGCTGACTTTCTCTCTCTCTCTCTATGTCTCTCTGTCTCCTTCTCTGTGTGTGTGATTCTCTCTCTCTCTCTACTTTTTTATCTATCCATCTATCTATCTACCTATCTATCCATCCATATTCCATCCATTTATCTATCCATCATTCTGCCTATCTATCTATCTGTCTGTCTGTCTGTCTGTCTATCTGTCCTGACCTCCTAACATCCCTGACGGACATGTCTCCTGTACTGCCACGCGAACTGCATCTTTGTAGATCCTCTTCAAACGTCCCACGCCTGCCAATCGTTTTTGCACCAGGGTTTGCTCACTTTTGGCAAGGTGCCAAATCATTGCCCCGCTACGCGAAACCACATCCTAACTTCAAGAAGTGGTCCGACACCATCAGTTTTTAATACTTTTGACTTGTGAATGTGCTTCGCGCCACAACGGCGTGCAATTTTTGATCTCTCATCCCACGAGATGGCTCAACACCCGCCGCTTTAGCGACCCGACTTTTCGACCCTGCGGAGCTACAAAACATTGGAAAACACAATGTTTTGCAACTTTTCTACCTTTTCGCGCATGTTGATCTTCTTTCTACTGACTCTCTTCTCTGACTTCTCTTCTGACTCTTTCTCTTCTCTGACTGCTCTCCACCTGTTGCTGCATCTGTCCATAAGTCGGAAGTTTGACTTCTAAAACTTCCTTCGATCAGAGGATACTGTAATTATCATGGAACATCGATGATGGGCATCTTAGGCGCTTAGGGATTCGCAGCTAGGCAGCCATGTTCAGGATGGGACGTCTCACCCAATCTCGAAGTTGATCCATAGATTTCAGGACAAGAACCAATTATGGGATTGTCTGAAAATAATCCTCAAATCTGATCAACTTTGTTGGTTGATTATCATTCATTAACATAACCAGGAACTGGTGGGTGTATGCCAAATTTTCAAGACAACAAACAATTGTCATCAAAAAATTGTCTGCAGAAAAGCAACGTCTTCACGCCTCGTTGCAAGGCTTTGGCTTGCTCCCTGACTCCTTGGCGAAGTCTGCGAAGTTAAAACATATCCGCAGTTGTGGCAATGGTTCAGAATCTCATGGAGAAAAAGACCAGTAGCAACTACCCTCTGGTAAACTAACATAGCCATGGAAAATCCCAACCATAAATGGAGGTTTTAATGGGAAAATCATCTATAAATGGGCCATCTATACCATGGCTATGTTAAATAACCAAATGGTAATTCCAACTGTCAGCAAAACAAACATACATACACAACCCATCTTTTGATGATATATACCACTGCCACCCATTTATGGTAAAATTGAGGATGGTTTACTAATATATGGCATGACACTAATTAGTATGGGATTGTATGACAACTAATTGGTATGGGATCAATTAATGGCAACAAATCCAATGAAATCCTATCCCCCCCGATATTAACAAAATGGAATCCTGGCTTAGTATTGAAACATATTCTTTTTGGGGTCCCTTATGGGAGTATGCAACTTTTTTTGGGTGGGATGGGATTATTCCCCAGTCGCCAAGCAACTTTCCCGCAAACCATTGCTGCGAGAACGCACATCCTGTAGGACGCCGGAGAACCACGCCATTGACGAGGTAACGGCAGTGCACGATGCTGTTTAACAAAATGTTAGTGCTCAATCATTCTGTAGAGTTTGCAAACAATTGGCTCTGAATATTCTGGGAGTGGTGGTCGCGATCATGCTTGATGATTCTTGTAGACAGCCATGCCACAGAGGCGTGACCTGCACCAATTGCGGGTCGCGGAAACCTTGTATCAGATTTGCGCAATCCAAGAATCATTGCCCCTACGGGCAATGCAGATGCACAGCACTTCTTATCTTCAGCATTTTTGTTACCCTCAAGCCTGGAAGTGTACGACCATGTTTTCAGGGGCTTTGGAGGAATAACTGTCTTTCTAGATGGAAATTGGCCATGGCTGGCTGCCAGCCCAATAAATAAAAAATAAAGGTCATTGCCCCCTTCTACGATGCTGAAAACTGGAGCCTCCAGCTGGCGATTACCGGCAGAAGTGTATCCCTACTGGTCAAAAGAACACCTTCCAACCCGCAGATTGTGGTTATTCATTATGAATGCTCCATTTTTGGATTGTCCAACATTGATCCCTACCCATATCCTTTGCAAATATATGTGAATTTGGCCTAGCCCACGGCAGCTTCAACTTTAGCAATGAACATCTATGAAAATTCTGGCTTCGAGATGCTTCGAGATGAGAATTTGTCTTACAGTTTCCCAAACCAACACAGACCCTGAACAAAGAAAACACATTTTTTTAGAGAGTGGTCTTCCAACCCCCAACTCGTGGCCGGGTCTACGTGGTATATCTGGTATTTCAAACCTGGCGATGGCCGGGCATGACGGGCCAGGGACCCCAGGGGGTGCCGCACTTGAGCCCTGCTCTGGGTGGACTTCAAGTGCTGCAGGGAGACGTCCGTCGCCGGTTCCGCCTAACGTCAGCGCGGAAATAAAGGGCGAACTGTGGAAATTGAGCATTTGGAACTTCGCACAGAAAATAGCTGAAGTCAACTTTTGTCAGTATCATGATTTTTATGGATTGGTTCAAGGGAAAAGTCCAGTGGGAAACTATAGAATGCCATAGTAAGATGTTTCCTCAGTAAAGGCTCTCTCCATCCAACTCTGGGGCATGTCTCAGTCTCACAGCAAGGGCCCCCCCAGTGATAAGCTGGATTCTGTCACTCTATCCAACCAATCCAACTAGTTCGAAATATCTATCATAGCCAGCCATAAGCCATGATGAAGCTACTTATAAACCAACTTAGCTATCATAAATCAGCTATCTCTGCTATAAATCCCCATGTTTGTTGAATACCTCTCCATCTTTTGTTGGTTAGGTCACTGTGCCCCTTCCAGGTATCACATCCAATCTGCCCTGAAAACACGGCCGGGTCACCGGGGGGTTCTCCGCATGCCTGCAGCAGAGATATCTCTTGTCTCACCAATATCACCGATGTGTACCTACGTAAAATGCTATATATATATATATATTCTGTATGACTGCATGATATTATAAATACAGTGTTATGTAATATTATGTCTTAGAGTTACTATATATGGTGTTCAATTCTATATGCCATAATTTGTGTTTATTGTTTATGTAATATTATCCATAAGATGTGTGTGTGTGTGTGTGCGTGACCTCATTAGAAAAAAAAGGTTCCGAAGCAAAACAAATGCCTCCCAATCAATGTGAGAAGATTGACTCGTTCAGCATGTGCAAAATACATATTCACAAACTTGCAAATACATGTGCGATCACTTTCGTGTATCTGGACCAAAATCTCCCGAATGGCCGTTTATCATAGCGATAATATGGGAAAATCATGATCAACAAGTGGACTTCGAGGTACCTTATAGACAAACACAGATATCACACTGCCAATGTCTACACTCGAGCCCGCAGCCTGTCCCCCACTAAGCCATGGGCAATAAGCCCAGGCAAACTACAACTGCTACTACACTATACCACACAATCGTGTAATAGTCACAAAGATGTTGTGATTACCCCACCTCACATCACATTCCCAACATGTGATATGTGT